GGAGGCTGAGGGGAGACCTCATTGCCCTCTACAACTACCTGAAAGGAGGTTGTAGAGAGGTGGGTGTTGGCCTCTTCTCCCAAGTGAATAATGACAGGACCAGAGGAAATGGTCTGAAGTTGCAGCAGGGGAGGTTTAGATTAGATATTAGGAAGAATTACTTTACTGAGAGGGTGGTCAGGCACTGGAGCAGCCTGCCCAGGGAGGTGGTGGAGTCACCATCCCTGGAGGTATTTAAGAAACATGTAGACATGGCTCTTCAGGGCATGCTCTAGTGCCCAAGATTATTGGTTTGTGGGTGGGTGTGATGTTGTGGGGTGTTGTGTTTTGTGGGGTTTTTTTGTTGTTTGGTTTTTGGGGTTTTTTTGTTGGTTTTTTTTTTTAGGGTTGAACTCAGTGATCTCAGAGGTCCCTTCCAACCATGGTGATTCTGTGTGATTCTGTGATTGTGAAATATTTTTTAAATGAACCATTATTTTGTTTCTAATTTTTTTTTCCCAATTCTCTCCCTAGATGGTAAAAGCAATCCAAGTTCTACGTATCCATCTGCTTGAGCTAGAAAAGGTTAATGAACTCTGCAAGGATTTCTGTAGTCGTTACATTGCCTGCCTGAAGACAAAAATGAACAGTGAAACTCTATTAAGTGGAGAGCCTGGAAGTCCTTATTCACCTGTGCAATCTCAGGTATGTTTCAAATACAATTAAGTGTGGTTTTGCTTATATTTCCTTAGGAAGTTATAATTACACTTCTATTGCTATTAGTTTGCAAACAGAATTTCTGCAGTTTATTTGACTTTCTCAAATTCAGTTATTAAGAGTAGAAAGAGCTGGGGTTTTTTTTGTGCACATCAGTGTGACACGCCTGATGGACAAATTTCTTGAAATGTGCCAGAACATAGTCACTTTTCTTGTCTGTCTTCCCTCAATTCAGCAAATGGAGATATTCAGAGTAGCCAGGGTTTGCTATTTTGTGGAGGGAGGCTAGGAAACTGAATAAAAGGAGAAGAAAAAAATTCCTTGTTAAGAAGGTCTCCTTAGTCTAGTCTACTTCCTTAAAATGTTGAGATGGGTAATACTTTTTATACTCAATCTGTATTCTGGAACAAATAGAAAATGTCTGATGGGTTATAGTTGCACCATTTGAGATGTCATTGCATGTCCCCAAGGGCGACTGTGTAGTTATGAACTGTGTCCATTTCTATACAAGTCAACCTTGGTTTATATGTTGTTGACATTATCTAAATGCAATAATCAATTGCATTTTTTGTAGTAAATTGACAGCAATTAATTAACAACAGTTAGTACGTTATGGTTGGTGCTTCTGCTGTGAAGTACCGGAAAGTGAGTCCTGCAATCCAAGTACATACTAGATAGCTAACCTTAGAGAATGGCCCATCTCTGATTTACTCATATGTTTGATGCTGTGTATTCTGAAAAGCCTCAATGATTTTTGAACTTTGTTGTCTGGACTCCTTACTTAGGTTTTGGTGTCTAGACGTGTGGAAAGGAAAGTCTAAAATCAGACAAAAAGAACTGTTAAAAGATGGGGGTTTTGTATGTCCGTTGCAGCTCTTCTGTAGAGACAGTGGGGACTGAATTTTGCTATTTGGTGACAACAGAGATTATTCATACATATTAAAGAACATGTAAGAGTTTGTGTGGTCAGGACTGAGTAAGAGCTGTCCTGAGCAGAATAAAACATACTGGGCATTTTGAATACTTAATACGTTAATTTGAAATTGAAGGAATTAAGGTAATAACTAAAACTCTAAAGCTTTGATGCTTATAATAAGAGCATCAAGGGTCCATTTCATCTGTCCTTTTTCCTCTGTGCCTTTAGAAACTGTTTCTCTTAGTATTTATGTACCTAGAATCTTTTTTCTCCTGAAATCTCTCAAGATAGTTTTATATCTTTTCTAACAGTGGTTTTCATGAGGGTTTTCAGAGGTAATAGTTGCTGATAATGAGAAAGTTAATGTGGGTAATGATGAACCTCTAATGAAGTCTCTTTGAAGTTAATCTTGTGATTAAACTTCAAATGTATTTTTAGAGCCAAAATTGCACAAGCATGCTTTATCCCCTTAAAAAAAAAACAAACAAAAAAACAACAACAAACCTTTAAAAAAATGTAAGCAACTAATTGTTTTATTTTTCTAGCAAATTCCAAGTGCCATTGCAGGCACACTCAGTCCCCAAGGGATTATGGTGCCAGCATCAGCATTGCAGCAGGGAAATGTAACTATGGCAACAGTAGCAGGTATGACACACTAAAGAAAAACTGGCACCTTACTCTTCATTCTGGTTTATGTTATAATTGTTACAAAAAATACACAAATACTTTTAAAAATATGTTTTAACACTAATACCTGAAGAGTTGTTATAATACAGTCAAGTGCCTTACTGGTTTCTGAATGTTTATTTAATTTATATATGTACCAAGTATGCATATGTGCATGGAGGTTATGCATATGTGAGTGGAGGTTACATATATATAATATTAAGAGATCTTTCTGTGCAATGCTGCTTTTGTTAAAAGACATTTCAGAGACGGAGGTGTTTTATGGTTTCTTCTTTTTTTCTTTCTCCCTTCAAAAAAATAATTCTGTTTGACAAAAAGATGCATTACGTAAAATATTCCACTTATTAGCTGTCTCATGATCTGTCAAGTTTGGAAACACACCTACAAGTCTGTGAAATCCTTGATGTCCAAGTTGTTCTGCTATTGTATGGAGGTGACAGTGGAAGTGAAATGTTTTATCTTGCTTCTAAGCAAGATTTTAAAACAAACACAGAAAAAATGCCTTCACTCAAATGCAACAAAGCAGTGCGTCTGCATATACTTACGAAGACATTATTCTGAGACACAGTACGTGCTTGGTGGCTTTGGTGCCCAGGAACCCCTGTGTGTTCACCAAGATTCTGCCACCTTAGTTGACCCAAACATCTAGGTGTCACCCAGCTGACTGCCCTAACTAGTTGACATACATAGGTGTGGTTCTGGTGTGATGACCCTTGTTGGCTGAAAAGTTAGCTCAGTTAAAACAAAACAATGAACTATTTTATAGTCTGCTGGTCATGGCATTTTCCTTTGAAAATAGATTTAGAATGCCTAAAATGCAGGGAAACAGAATTGAATTTAGTACAGATTTTTGTGGGCGGAAAAAATTTTAGTGTAGCAAAGAGTGTATCTTACACGCCTACTAGAAAAAAATAGTTGATATATTATCAAAATGTATTATCTGCAGTGCTGATGTGTTTGTGTGTTTAAAGAGAATAATATTAGAAGAGTTTTTACTTACCTATAATCTGTGTTGCTGTTTTGTTTTAAGGGGGCACAGTGTATCAGCCAGTCACTGTGGTCACTCCACAAGGTCAAGTAGTGACACAAGCATTGTCACCTGGGACTATTCGGATCCAGAACTCTCAGGTTTGTTTTATGTGCTTCACTGGATAGTATTCTGAGTTCAAATAAATCTCAGTCATTTTAAGAATTTTTGTTTAAATTTGAGTCAGAATGAGCTCTGTGTACACACACGTAGTAACAAATGCAAAATTAATGCAAGTGCTGTTATAGGAATTACAAGTTGCATAGCATGGCATAAGGTCCTAGACAGATCTCCCCTGCCTTGCCAGGTCATCATAGTTCTGACCTGTTAAATGTCTTTTCTTAGTGATGACAGAAAAGAATAGGTACATGGATTTTTTTTAAAAAAGAACAAAACCAAAAAAAAAACCCACCCCAACACTATCCCTGCCCCAAAAAAGTCACCCCGAAACCCAACAAACAAATGAAAACAAACCCACCAAACCAAAACTGCCTCTGAATTAAATAGACACTTTTTTAATGATTAAAACTTTTCTAATTGTTGAACTCAGTTTATGGCTGGATAGATTTACTACATGGCACTATGGTGGCCACATTGCTGTGTCAGAAATTTGACTTTTTATCGTGATGGCAACCACTAGTACTGTGAAACTATGTATTTCAGAATTTGTATATGTTGAGAAACATTTTGCCATAAAACTTTTTAAAATACTTAGTTCAGACTATGGGAGACCCTCACATTGGGCTCATTATATCATACCCTAAAAGATAAGAACCAGCACTCTTTTTGGGAGGGGTTCTTAAGGAGTTGGATCTGGAGGGCTCAAAGAAACAACTAAGGAAAAGGAAACATGAAAACTAGACCGTCTTCAGTTATGGAAAACTTTACTAGCTTTTTCTTGAAGCAGAAAGTCGTTAAGTCAAATATTCCAGGAATAGGGAGTCAATTAAAATGTGAATGAGGAGCTACCATCTCCACAGCATAAAATCTGTTTGTAATCACTGACTCACTGTCTTGTCTTTTTTCTTCTTCTGACCTTCCAACCGAAAAAGTATGCTTAGAGTATTCTTCTTTTATTGGTAGTAGAATGTATGTGTTTGCCCACATTCTTCCCTAGAATGGATGCAGTTCTGTCCTCAGATAACTTTCTGAAAGAAATGTGTAAAATTATTCTCCTAGACTGAAATGGTTTTGAAGAAAAATGCTTTTTATACCTCTGATGAAAAAAATAAACAAAAAAAAAAGGACTTGACCTTCCCTGTATGTCTGTGGCTACTCTTGATGTTAGCAGGAATCTTCAAACCCACCTATGCATAGGTTTGGACCTGTATTCCTTGTCACCCATGGGAAATCCTTCTTCAGAGTCTTCTTTTTCAATGTTTAAGAATGCGGTAGAGATAGGGAAAAGATACTGGGGCAGAGCTATTGAAAGTTCATTATAAAGCCTCCATATACAAGCAGATTATTTAGAACGTAAAACATTATTTTTAGAAATAACAGTATGCTCCAAAATCATTTTTGTTGTAACTTGATAGCTTAAATCTCATTTAAAACTTGTTGCATACAGGGTGTAGACATAATGACTGGCTTGAAGAAATTGCTCTGGATTGTCTGAAAAACCTGATCTAGAATAATTTCAGTTATAATTGTCTGAAATATAATCTCATACGCAATTTATATGCTGTTTCTTCTCAGCTCTGCGTAAGCATCCAAGAACATATTCCCTAATGTTCAGATAACCAATGTGCAAATGATTTGATGTATCTATAGGAAGTAGAAAAGAAAAGAAAACAAAACTGAGAAGGAAATATGAACCTTTAGAAAGTGATTTAAGAGTTCTACCATACATATCTTCTTGCTCTTTGAGATTTAGATGCATTTATTTTAGCAGAACCTTTAGCGTCTTTGTTTGCAATTCTAACATAAAAATGAATTTGACTTTAAGGCCTTCATTTCAGTCTTCCAGCTTCCATAGTTCTTTATGTTTGCACAATGAGTATATTCAACATTGTGTTTTTCAATTGCTCTTCACATGTGCGAATGACTACATAGGATGACAAGGCAATAAGATCCTTAGGGTAGCAGAGATAAGGAGAGAGTATCATTAACCTGACGTGTGCAATATGGGTGGATTTTATTCTAAATTATAGTAAATCAGCGTTTGGCTATTGTCACAAGATCACATACACAGCCTGATTAACAGCTGTAATTCTTAGAACAGAAGTTACATGACACGTGAAAACTATAGAAATCTGATACAGTGTTTTCCCTGGATAAAGACGTTTTGGAATGCTATTGTAGGAGAGCTGCTTTTGTAAGTTTTCCCTAGGAAATAAAGTAGCTTTTTATAATCAGCATGCCTCAAGCCTAATTTCTTTTCATTCCTTCTATAAATGAGTTATTCATACATTGATACAGAATATTGCTATTACTGTGTTAACTGCCTTATTTCTTCTAAAATTATGTGCAGCTTCAGTTGCAATTAAACCAAGATCTAGGCATCTTGCATCAAGATGATGGCTCATCAAAAAATAAAAGAGGAGTTCTTCCCAAGCACGCTACAAATGTGATGAGATCTTGGCTTTTTCAGCACATTGGGGTAAGGACTGAACATGATCAGGAGTCACAGGTTTTTATGTAACTCTTTTATGTGGTCTCTTATGATTTTGCTTCATAAAGAAGGTGAATTTATTCTGTTGTTAATTGTGTAATCTCAGTGCAGTTTTCCCTGAAGTCATTTGGACTAGTTCCACAGTCTAATGTCGGTTGATTTTATTCTTATTTTAATAAGTATGTTACATTTGTACCTCATGATCTCAATAAACATTGTTAAAAGGGATCTTTCTTCATTTCATTGTGTTGAGAACTTAATGCTCTCTACACCCTGGTTCATGGCACAAGGCAAAATAGTTCCATCTGTGTTTTGGGGTGGTTTTTTGTAGAAGAGAATTTCAAATTTTCTGGTTTTATCTCCTTTCCAGCAATCCTTCTAATGTGTACCAAGCGTGTTACTATCTACTTGTGCTTTCAACAGAATGTCTTTCCTTTGCATACATGCTTATCCTGAAAGGATAAATGTGTCTCAGGTTCTATCACAATGTTTAGCTGGTTGATACCTTACAACTATTACAACTGTTTTACAACCAGCAAATGATACAGGGAAACTGCGTGTATGCTTCTTATGGTACGTACGCTCTCTTCAACCATTTAGTTCAGAGTAGCTTTATTTAACTAGAAAGTGCTTGTCAGTACTCTCATATGACATTGCCTTTAGACAGCATAACTAATCAGATCTTATCACATGCTGTGTTGCCCAGGGATCACGCTGTTAATAAAGACTGCCAACCATGAGAAGCTTTTTCTTCTGAATTACACATCAGCAGTTTAATGGTATCATATACACTTTCAAGGATAAAATCAGCTTTGTGTAGTAAAGCAGTCTTTGTTAAATGATTTTTATCTATAAAAGTTTGTGAGGTTTCTAAAGTTTGTTTTTTAATGAGTCAGATGGTCTTAATCTAGCAGCTTGAATTAGTTATAATAAAGGAGTCCTTATTTTTGATGAGGAGATGAAACAAGCTTATGCCTTTCCTATTTGCTTTTTTGTGCTGCCTAGCATCCATATCCAACAGAGGATGAGAAGAAACAGATTGCAGCACAAACAAATCTGACACTACTCCAGGTTAACAATTGGTAAGAGCAAAAACTCTTACTTAATGTCTGTTGTTGTCTTCACGTGCTTACAACAGAGAAATCATTAAGTGTATAACTTGGACTTATACTTATCTATACACTTATATATATATATAAGTTGAATTTACTGTTCTACCTATGTTACAAAACATGTATAAAAATACAGGAATTATGCACTAATACACAAGCATATTCTTTTTTACAGTAAGGTATAATCATACTTGTTTCATTTAAATTATTTAAGGACCACAGAAAACTTTGCAACATTAAGGAATTAAAATTTGGTCTGTTGCTGAAAGGTGGAAGTACTCTCATGTCTCTTCTGCAAGTAAAGAAATTGAAATTGAAAGCCTTTTAGTGACCTGAAGCTCTGAAAAGTGTTCTCTGGTAATCGTGGTTACAAATGTTTAAGTTACTGTCAACAGATACTCATTCTGCTCTTGTATCAAAGGATGCTGTCCTCTGAGCAGTGATGTCTGAATGGAGAGTGTCAGTACCTCAACTACTATAGTCTGTGGTTCAACATGTTTTAGCGTATTTTATCTTCACCAGAGGCTTAAGGTAATACACCTCCCCCTGCAGAAGAGAGGAGCGAGGGTGCCAACATGCATCCTATTCTGCTTGTGGAATTGGTTCCTAAGATTATTGCAGTCCAACAGGCACTTTCCTTATATGTCAAAGATGATGCTGATTGCATGGCTGCAGAGGGGTCCCGTGGGGAGATACTCCAGACAGCAGCAGCACACTGGTTCCAGAAGTGGAACGGTGTAACTGTACCTGTGTGACAGGGTAGTAATGGAGCTCTGCGGTACTGGGATCCAACTGCTGGCTCTGCAAAGCCTGCCAGTTGCACCCGCCTTCCTCCCGTTGCAGATAAAGATGGGTCCTGGATGTGTTTTGTCAGATTTAGCAAGAGATGCTCTTCTCAGTCACAACTCCTTGCCATAGCTAGCTACATTGAAATTGAGTCTGTTCAGTGCTGGTAGTTAAGTGAGATGTGGTGTAAGCATTTTCTTGTTCACTAGCAGAAAGGGGAAGGGCAGCAATTAGCATGCTAAAGTAAACAAGTGAAAATCAGGGAATAAAAAGGAATTGGAAAAGATCTGAAAAATGTGTTTGCTGTTGTCTCCTGGATCAGGAACCAGACCTTGGAAAGCCAGGGAGCCTATAAAATAAGTAATGCAGGAGCCTAAAGAAGTAATGAAACCAGACCAAGCAAACTAGGTTAGGCAGGGGCTAGATTTTAGGTGAACTGTAATGAGAGGAGGATCAGCTTTCTGAGCTACGCTGTCAGCAAGTTTTCTGGTGCTTAGTTTTTAATAAGATCTTGAAATGTACATCTGTCGTGCTGTCTGGAGAATTTCCCCATCTAAGGTGGGGGAAAAAATGCTGCTAGCAACAAAATGATAGAAGTACTTTTCTTAGCTAGTTTGCCAAAATCAAAGGATGACAGTGTTCTAGGAGCAGTTTTACGCGTTAAAAAGGATGTCAAGGGCAGGTGGTAGGGAGAAGATTTTATATTCCTGATCTTTTTTTTCCTCGCTGTATACTTTGTGAATCTGAGAGAGACAATTTACAGCCAACTGGTGATAAGTACTTCTTGCCTTTGATTGTGTTTAGGTTTATCAATGCTAGAAGGCGAATTCTTCAGCCGATGCTGGATTCCAGTTGTTCTGAAACTCCCAAAACAAAGAAGAAAACAGCTCAGAACCGACCAGTTCAGAGGTTCTGGCCTGACTCCATTGCCTCAGGAGTTGCTCAGCAGCAATCTAATGAGCTCACAATGTCAGATGGTAAGGAGAACTGGCTAAACCACAGATAATAAAGTTAATTCCTCTGTAACAGGGAAATGAAGGGTTTGATGCTTTTTGGGGGAGAGGAACTTCTTGATATTTCAATATAAATGTGTTTTTAATCTGGAAAAACATAACAGAAATGTGTCAGATTTTTCCCTCCTTAAAGATTTCTGTGTTTTGGGGAGGTATTCCATTGGAATTTATGTTGAGAGATGGTTGCTTGTGTTTCAAAAGTTATGAAACAACAGAACAAGGTTAGGTGTGCAACTAAGTTCTCTCAGTATGTGCATCTCAGTAGCATTCTGTTTGATTAGCAGTATTGGACTGCAGTTTCAGTTTCATGACTCCCCATCATGTTCACATTCCTTTGACTGTTGCTAGAGGGACCGAGCATCTGCAATTCTATATATGCCTCGTGTTTTCAAGTAGAACGTTGAGAGGCAGAGAAATGTTAAGAGGGCCTCCAGAGGCTTTGACTGAAATAACTTCCTTACCATTGGATCAAACAAATAAGAGCAATTTAAGAAATACAAATAACTGTTTTAATCTCAAGACCATCCTTTCTGTCCGGCTGCTTTATTCCTTTCCAGTTTGTAGCAACCTTTCCCTCAGCCTCCCCTGGATCTGAGAACAACTTTATCCATTTAAGTCACCTTGAATCTCTATAAACGCTCCTATCTTTCTGCAGTGAATTTGGTTGGAGTACTTTGCAGAAATGGTCTTGTGATGACTTGATGGGAAAATTGCTGTAATGGGTGTCCATAACAGCTAAATTTAAGATTCCTGGCCAACTTAATTCTGGCATTTCCTGATACTCAAGTGTTTGACAACCTGTATAGTTTTTCTTTTAATTTAGTTCCTTAGGTTTTCTTCCTGTTGATTAGAAACAAACTGTTATATGAATATGTCTTACTTTATTATTAAATTAGAAACCAAGAAAGATGCTGAAGTACTATGATTGTGCCTCTCCAGGTGCTGTTGTAACAATTACAGCTCCAGTCAACATGAATGTAGACAGTCTCCAATCTCTGTCATCTGATGGTGCTACTTTGGCTGTTCAGCAAGTTATGATGGCAGGGCAAAGTGAGGATGAATCTGTAGACAGCGGTGAAGATGATGGAGGAGATCTCTCAACAACAAATATCAGTGGGCTGGTCTTGGATAACAGCGATTCTCTGCAGTAGGAAGCAAGAGAGTGTGACAAAATGTTTAGGAAAAAGAATGGACTGACTGACTGACTGTTTTTATAGTTTGCACAGCAAACATTTTACACAAGTTTTATTTCTAATATGTTTTATATGTAGATATAGAAGGGTGCACTTTTTTGTATTTCATAGTAAGCTTAAAGAGTGTTTTTGCAGGTGCAGCAACTTCTTTCAAATGTGTTTTTTTTTCATTTCATTTCCTTTTCTTATTTCAGAAAATTATATCTAGTAATATAAAGAACCACATAAGCACCCCTTTGTTCTATGAATTGGAAGTGCTGCAATTTCTAAAGAATTACGCAGTTTCAATTAGTGCTGTTATTTAACACAGCTCTTGATGGGCAGGTGATGTAAATTTAAAGCATGTGACACTAGTGTGTGGAACTTGATCATTAAGTTTAGATGCATATATTTGAAAGATGCTTCTGCACCTTAAAAACTGCTAGTCTGAGGTGGACAGCAACACACATAAAAAGAAAATGTTGATGTGTGATTCAGTAGCGAATGTATGGCAATTGAAATAAGTTTAGTTTCTCTCATAGTCCGTGAGCCTGTTTATCATTTGCTATAAAAACTCCTATTTTTACCTTGCCGGGGTTATTGGATAAAAAATATTTTTATAAATTCACTAGGAATTGGGATGACGACTGTATTAAGCAGGAGGGGAAAAAGAAAAAAAGAAAAAAAAAAAAAAAAAAAAAAAAAAAAAAAAAAAAAGAATTTCCAGAGGGGAAAAATAAATGTTTAGTATTCCTATTTGGAAGGTCTGAAAACTGACCAAATTTAATAAACAAGCCTATGCTAGCATTCTATGATTCTCAGCTATCCCACAGTGATATCCTATATTTGATAATAGCATAAGAAAGGCCCACTGTTTGATGGGATTTTGATATTGTCAAACATTGATTTATATTATGTGTAAACTAATATTCAAATTACATTAGCTCTGTATCTAGACTTGTATCTGAAGATATTTGCTAAATGAGTATTCAGGTAAGTAAATTCAAATACCCACAACTTTTCCGGTTATTAGAGGAATTTAACAGTTTATAGTTTGTACAACTGAATCTGAAAAATGAAAAGTTGCTTACTATACAGTCATGAATTCTGCTATCACTCTGCTATTTTAATGCATTTGAAATATTTTCCCCTAATACAAAACAAAATATAACTTACGGATTTATATAAAATATCTTCAAATCTGAAGGTTACTACCAGAATATACAGCAGGCTTTATTAGAGTAGGAAATCCATGTGTGTCATTTAAAAATGAAGAGCTAACCATGAAAACTCTTTTTTTTTTTTTTTTTGTGGTAACAGTTCATTTCTTTTTTTCCCCAAAGTTTGGAGTCTATGTCTGTCTATCCATGAACACTTACTTTTGGAACTTTGTATTTCCCCTTGTTAAATACAAGTAACAGACTCTAAGAGTCTCACGGTGAGATCAATGTCCTCTTTTCCCCCTGTCCATTTGTCAGTGTTGGGTTAGATCAAAGCCAGAACATCCTGATTTAGAGCAAATCCAGTTGCATTTCTAATGTGACAGGGAAAAAGATGTTAGCTTTTAGAGTTTTTAGACATTGTATTTGAACAAAGCCCTTTGACAGATGCAAATATTTAATTGAATACTTCATTTCTGCTTTACAAAACACTCAGGCATGTGCTTAGGTCCCATTGATTTCAGTAGGATTAGCGAATGTACTTGTTGGCATGCTTAAATGATTGGAAGGTGATCTTTAAAGATTGTCTTCCAAGGCAAGTCAGTATAAGTTGGTTTGAAGAAAAACTTTGGAACAAAATGTCAGTAGCATTGGCATGTGTGGAGAATAATACTAGTTTACAATGACTAGTTGCTATTTTGAAAAATTGGTGTTGAGTTTTACTCAACACAAGTAGTATTTCTGCTATGGCTTTCGCTTATTCCTGGCTGAGGATCTTGCTTTTCAGTTCAAATGCTGTAATGATCTACTCCAGCTGGAGTGGTAATTTCTAAAGAATGTGTTTTCTAACTTCTCTGCTTTGCCACTAATGTGCCATGTTTGTTAAAGGGCATAGTAAATGAATGATGAAAGATTTAATTAGGAGGGCTTTGACAGAGCATAACTATCTCAAAAGCTACTGTCAAATCTAGTTTGGCCCCAAAACATTTTAAAAGACAGCTACCATATGCAAATCGTGCTCATTTGGAAACATTCAACCTACTGCTTCTGCAAAGGATACCTGAGATGACTAGAACTGAGAAACAGACTCTGTATTTTTCTTTTTAGTTGTTTTTTATTTAACTCCATAAGTGCTTCATCACCCCCACAGTTTCCATTATATAGTAGGTTATATTTGTTGGTTTGTTTGGGGTTTTTATTCAGCTACCCTTGTTCATATTTAAAATAGTGCGTTAATCCCTGTACTTTTAGAACGTAGGCAGATGAATAGTCTACTTCTCAGTCTGTACAGGCCTATGGACGAATATGTGCTTTTCCACATCAACCTGTGGTGGAGGAACAGGCCATTTCTCACTGTCTTCTTTCTCTCCCTGACCAGTTGCTGCTGCCTCAGAAGTACTAGCAGATCTTTCCCCAGCCTGCTTTGAGGTAGTCTAGGAAGCAGCTGAGACAGTAGATCTGTTGGGGCAATAAGTAGGCAGCAGTGAAGGGAAGGGTAAACCAAAATGGCCAAAAAAACTTTTGTGGTTTGGAGATAATGTGGCAATGGGCCTTTGCCCACACTTCAAAACTGTGAGAATTGGGATCTTAAAAAGACAGAGGGTATTAAAACAGTTGAATATCTATACAGCTGGCTGGAAGAGGGTTCAGGAATATGTAGTTCATGTAGTTAGAACTCAGTTGGAAACAAGCAGGCATCAGGGTTTGCATGCTTCTGAAAGCTTATTTTTTTGGAAAGAAACCACTGTCTGGTTAGCATTTTTTTTTTATTCCCCCCACCTTACATGCAGAAGTATTGTGAAAGGGAGAATATGGAATAGTTTTACTGTCAAATTAGAAACAGGGATGTTTCCTAAAACTGAAAAGGCTTTACCAGTCTACTCAAAGGTTATTGCTTAATACATGGAACCTCAAACCTTGTCTTTTAACTCAATGAGAATTCTGTAGTGGGTATGAACTGCACAGAAGTGCTTGCTCTTTTTACGATTTAAAAAAAAAAAAAGGGAAAAAACCCCACTGTCCTTCTTTTTTTGCTGTGTAAGAAAGATTGCTAGTTTAAGTAAAGCATCACTATTCAGGAAAGGTAGATGTTTACATTGGTTAAAAACTCTTTATAGGGGACCTATCTTTAAATCCATGTATAATTCCCCTCCCCGACCCCGATTAAAGTCATGGTCATATGCAATAGAACTAACATGGTTTTTAAATTAGTGTAATTCTTCTGCGATTATGATTTTTTAAATGTTTTCAATGTAATATAGATCGTTACCCAAAACAGGGTTCTCAGTCCAGTGTTTCCAAGATTTCTGTAACAGGCAAGGCAATTTCCTGTTGTTATTTAACTTTAGAAACATGGCAATTTTATAAATCAATTCCAAATTGATCAGCGTATATTTTTAAGTGACTGTTCCAAAGAAATAATCATGTTGGAGAACATTCAGAATTGACAGGCATGGCTCTGGCTCTGCAGAGAATTTCCTAGATCTGGATATTGGGTCAAAGTGGAGTCCTGCTGACCTCAGGGAAACTCCATGAGGCTGCATGTCGGGCTGCATTTACCTGCAGGAGAATCAGTTCCCTGTTCCGGTCCCTGGTCACTCTTAGGAACCTTTTGGAGAGCCCTCCAGCTGTATCTTGCTGCATACCTAGGTTTTCTTCCAGTGGAAACCAGGAAACCAGGGTATGGACAAAGGGCTTAGAATGGCAGGAATTCGTGTTGACCTGGTGTGCACCACATACCGTTTTGATGTTCAAAATATGGCCAGAAGGCAGACTTACACTGAGGAATTAGTTCCCTGTTCCTGTGCTTGGAAAGTAGCTTCAGGTTTATGAATATTCTAGTGGTGTAGGGCCACAAAGACAATGCATGAATAATATATCTATTCGTTTTCTCTAATCACATGGAAAAAGAATTAGAAGGCAGTTCAGCTTCCTGACTTCATGAAGTTGACAGCCCAGAGGATGAAACAAAGCCTTTCCTAGGGATGGTAGTTTCCTAAAACCATTACATTTATAGCACTTCAGCAAAAACCCAGAACACCCTGGTATCTTGATAAATTGGAAAACATGCATTTAATTGTAATTAAAGTTGATTGAAGATTTATTTTCTGAAGCTGAGTCGTCTTGGGAGGAAGAAAATGAATAAGTATTTGTCTATGCAAGACATAAATGTCAAAAATGTGTGAATTACCCATTTTCAGGTGCTGTATTGTTATTGTCTTTCTGACTTCTGTTACTTTGATTAGTCTTTTGAACCTTTCAGCCTTATATTCAGCTTAGTTTTTAGAGTTGAATAGGCAAAATGTAGTTTTGAAATCTGTTGGAAATGTAACTAACCTTCATTCCCTCATGAAATTCTCGCATGTTAAACAATTAAGTGAAATGTTTTGGTTTCCTAATAATAAATTCAAACTCTCACCACCTCCTAAAACCAGAGCATATCCATGAAAATGCAGGTTTAATTGTAGTGTGCAAATGATCAAGACATCAGCCTTGTGCTGAGTACACTTTGCTCTTTACTGCTCAGTGTAGCTGAATGGCAAAGCAGGTTGGTTTTGTCAAACTCAGTGTGGGTTCCTTCCCTCCCTGCTCCCGCCCTTGCCTTGCTCTAACCTCCTTTCAGATAGGTTTGGGGTTGTTTAATTGTTAAAGTCCTCAAGTAACTTGATCATCCAGTGTAAAGTCTAGTGAAATTGGCACTAATGTGCTTTTAAGTGATTGCCCAAATCATGTTATTTGTTAATTCTCATCACCTGGAAATATAAAATCTGTTCCTTTTCTATGACTTAGTTCTTTAGGACCTGCTGAGTGCTGGCAGCTGGTTTTGCTAGAGAAAAGCAAGGTGTGAGAAAGCAGTGAAAGGCCTCACTGACCTTGTAGGCTACTATAAAGATACTGACTTCACGTTAATAGAATCCAGTGTTTTCAGGTCGTGAGAGAAGTCACCTGTAAATCTTTCCAGGGGTTAGCAACATTTGGTCTATACGATCAACAATCTTTAAAATGTGAAACCCTGTAACTTTTTTTTTTTTTCTCCTTCATTGTTAAGGGATTTTGAAGCAACTGATCTATCAAGGGATAAAATGAAAAATCAGAATGTGGCTTGTGGGTGGTTTACACTACTGTGCTTTGTGAACTGAAAAAGCACATTTGTAAAGCAAAGCATTCACACTTCTTTAACAGTATTGTTTGGCCGAAAGACAAATATGTTTTCAAGAAATCTTGAGCAGAGTTTCAAACTAGTTAACCAGTTCTTGGCCAGGGACAATCCTCTTGGATTTGCTGGGTTTTCTGGTTTATGCAAATGAAGAAAAATGTTTACTAGTTCATACCAGTATGGGGATTTTTATTACGCTTTTGTAATGCAGGAGCAGCTTCCGTGAAGGAAAGAATTAGCAGGTAAATAGTCCATAATGTGTGTGAACTTTGGGGTTTTGGGTTGTTCTTTCAAAATCGTTAATTAAAATGGCATGGACATCAAACTTTCAGTAATGGTTCCGAGCATAGACGGTAGAGACTTACCCCTGTGTTAACATGTTGAGCCAGACGGGCTGTAACGCATTTGTACAATTGCCATGTTCTACAAGATCAGAAGTCTTCAGCCTTCTCGTTACAAGGCAGCGAGGAAACTCAAACTCGTTTCATCCGGTGTGTATGAGTCTTGCTCAGCAAAGACACGGTGCTCTGAAGACGAAACCTGCTTCGGGTTAGCGCTGAAGCGTTATTTATTCCTCCTCTTGCTTCCCCAGCATCTGGGGTGGTGACATCCAGCTGTGGTCCCCCAAGGCCGCAGCCCTGAGCCCCGTGCACCTGGCTGAAGGGGCCCTGCCTGGGACCCCTCTGGCTACAGCTGCTACAGCCTCACCATGTACAGCTTTTTACTTACTCCAGAACATGTCCCCAAGCATTTTTGACTCATACCTTGTTTTCAAAGGGTTAATCTGTGATTAACTGAATAGTTTGTGTTCTAGACACAGGAGTATTTGATCATTTCGTTGCTGACATGAAGAGTGCCTGAGAATAATTCCTGGAAATAGTTTTAACTCCACTGCTGCCAGAGAGCATTTTTTTCCTTACTCTGATGAGAATAAAAAAACCAACCGACCAAACAAAGACCCCCTGCAAAGCAGATTTTTTTTTTTTTTTCACCTACGTTATGTCCAGTGCAGCGTGTGCCTGGTCCCTTGGTTTCAAATTCCCCGATGAATCCCCTTCAAGAAGGCATTGCAGGAATTGGGAGCAGAGTCATAAGCAACCCATGAGCCTGTTTGCTTTTGTGGAGCGCCTGGTTACAAAGCGCTAATCCTTAGTATGCAATTTAGGGATGTTTCTAAATACCCCTTTTTGTGGAAAACCAGAGCAATATCCTCAATGCTAAAAAGCTGGGGGGGGGGAATGAACTCCAGACACTGTGTCAAATGAGGATTCTGCAAGAATAGATACAGCTGGGATGCCCACTAGCTACTGTATTATTTATTCAAAAATCTCTATGTGAATTCATGCAAGTTCAGCATGTGCAAGGTATGCAGGATTAAGCGTGTTAGGTATTTAAGGAAGAAAAAAAAAAAGAAATTACAAGCCACCATTTAGATACCCTACTGAAATCTGAAAGCCATCCGACCTTTGTAGGTTGGGTTTGGTCTTTCTTCCTGATTCAACTAAGATGTGATCTAGAGTTTATGAAGTAATTGGGGGCGAAAAACTATGGGTATTTATCATCTCTGTTGGTCTGTGGACAGTATTAGCACAAGTCAGAAGATGAGGCCCATGGACTTACTCCTGGCCAGTGTTCCCAGCACCCTCTTTGTTAAGTTGGTCACTGAATCCTAAATACAGACTGATGCCTATACTAAATGTGAACGTGGTAATAAAATTTCATTTAGAGACAATTTTTTGTTAAGATCCAAGCATTTTTAAACTTAGATTTTTAATTGTCGTGAAAAATACGTAGATCATCCTTAAAAAACGAGTGAGTGACTTGAATGTCACCTTTGGTGTGCCCCTGCCCTACAGCCTTTCACTGTGAGCTACAAACCAGAGAGAAAATACTTCTGTTACTGGTGTCTCCCTGTATTTTTATATTGGAACAAGAGGATGGGGGGGGGGGTTCGGTTTTTTTTTCCCTGGATACACAAAAGGACTATTTTGCACAGCTGATTGCGATTAATTTTCTTGACTCGGTACTGCAGCTGGATCGAGGCCTGAAACCTCTTGAAAAATTTGCATCAAATGAATCTCGGAGGTACTGGTGAACTGGGTTGGCATTTGTTAGCTCATACCTGCCCTGCCTTTTTAGGTGCTGGGGAAATGCTGCTCCTGACTCACTTGTAAACACAGTGACACTTGAAGCAGCTACAGAAATCATAATTTCCTTCTGAAATGCTCCATTCTGCTTTCAAACAACTGGTTTAGTATTCCTGTTCTTTGAAAGCTGGCAACAATTCATCCTTGGTGAGGTACCCTAGACGTTTGCCTGTGTCTCTTGAGCTTTTGAATGGTGAATAGCCTTGAATAATGACGCTGCAAATCATTCCCAAGATTCCAAGCCAGCTTTGCTGGGAAAAGCCCAGTAACTTTACAGAACTGAGTTGTGGATGCTGCTATAAATGCAGTATCGGAATTATAATTAAAAATAAGCTGCCCTTAACCATAGTTGAGCACCATTAAAGCTAAATCACTTTAGACCCAAAATAATTTGTACATTATTTTCCCAAGTGAATGTATGTCTTTTATGTCATGTACATGCTTTTTTGCTTTTTTTTTATGTTTGTGTTCATCCCAGTGAAAGGTCTCGGGCATAGAAATATGAATATTTTAATAGTCTGCATCACAAAATATGCACACCTTAGGGAAACATGCAAGAACCTTCCCTATTAGATCATGCAGATCCTTAATTTAAAGAAATTACACTTAATAAATGGTCAGAAAAAAATCCATTTCTGCTTCGAATTTCAGCAGCAAAATATATATGGCATTAAGTGTGCATATTTTGAGTTTACCCTGAAACTCCTGACCAGCGAGTCCCTCTTATGCAGCCCCTTGCTTGCTGTTCTGGAATTCTGAGTGAGATAACCCAAGTGTCAGCTCCATTGCTCTTCCCAGAGGACATCTGTTTTACATGGCAAATCTACACATTTGCTCCCCCCTGCCCACCCACACGGAAGAAGGAGAGGCCACTGCTTGTAACGCAGAGAACATCTGACACTCAGGATTTCTCCTATTAGCCAGCAATATCTGTTTGCAGTTTCTTCTGAAATACCTCTCTGGTTTTTCAGTGTGATACTGAATGTGGGAAGAAGTATTTCTGATAACTTCAGAGCATAATACCTAGACAGAATGACGGGCCGCCACCCCCCTTAAAGCAGGGCTTTACAGACACAGGCTGGGGGAGATGCTACAGCTGTTTGCTCACCCACCCAGAAGGAATTGACTTCTTCTGGCAAGGTGTCAGGAAAGGCAGAAGGGCTTGGGTAGACACTTTTCTTGGCACTGGGGATAGTTGTGCCAAAAGGACACGTGGGTGTTTTGCCCTGATATTTTACAGCCTCATGAGGCAGGAACTGAGAGGGCATGTTAAAAGAACTGATGCCCAAAACGTGGTTCTATTTAAATCAATTATTTAATCATTAATACAAGGCCCTGTCAGTTCCAAAGCAGCAGTGATGATCTTTTACAAAGTGATGGGATGCTGAAGAACACAAACAACCCCCCTGGACTTTTTGTGCTATATGTAAAATGAGTTCTTTTTAGGAGTTGCAAATTCCAGCTTTTGACTCAATTTTCAGGGCTAATTTAGGGATGCCCAAGGGTTCGTATGCTGCTCTGCACTTAAGAAACATGCACGGCTCCGTACCTGCAAACACGTGCCTACCTGTGAGGCAAAGTTTCAGTGCCCATGCCGATGGGCCACCACAACACTACACCGTCATCCGGACCATGGAGAAAATCTGACCTGGAAAAACATAACTGATAATCCAGCAATACTGAGTCCAAAATGTGTAGAAGCACACGGGTGATTAGTAACACTGGAGAATCTAGGACAACAGCCGTTCAAATAAAGCATGCTAGAAGCCAGGACCTTAAACTTTGATGAATAAATTCTGGCAACTGAAAGGTGCGTTGTCTTTGACCAGGTTTTTTTTTTCCGTTCTCCCTGTGCTGGCGCAGCTTCCAGGGGCAAAGCAACACCATGGGGCTGCTCATTGCTGTGTCGAGAAATGCAGGCAGAGATGCTGTCAGGCTTCCAGGCAGAGGCTAGCGGTGCAAGCTGTCCTCAAATCAGAGATGGTGGCAGCGAGAAGAAGATGTTCATGGGCAGCTTGCAGAGGAGCCAGCAGGAACATTTTTTTGCACAGATGTTTGAAGAATAACCCCACCTTGTTCCCGTGCTTACCCTGTATGTAGAGCAGCCACACAAACCCAGTACCATTCAGGGATTGCCGTCTGTCGGTCATCCTCCCTTCTTCAAAGGTTATCAGTCACGCAAGGTAGGGGGGGAAGTGGTGGGACAGATAAGATGTGTGACAAAGGATAAACAACCCCGGCAGACCACCCCCCTCCCCAGGAGACAAGGAGTCTGCCCAAATCACTTGTGGCTCCCTCCAAACAATCGCTACCAGCTTGCAGAACTCATCACCACGCTTGCAAACCCACCCTGATTTCCTTAAATGCTTGGCAAACATGGATGGGAGGGAGCCCCACAGACTAAAATACTCACAGCTTGCAGGCACGTACAGGCTGTGAATTCCTAGAATCACAGGATGGTTTGGGTTGGAAGGGACCTTAAAGATCATGGAGTTCCAACCCCCCTGCCATGGGCAGGAACACCTCCCACTAGAGCAGGTTGCTCAAAGCCCCATCCAGCCTGGCCCTGAGCACCTCCAGGGATGGGGCATCCATCCACAGCTTCTCTGGACAACCTGTTCCAATGTCTCACCACCCTCTGAGTGAAATATTTCTTCCTGATTCGTTCAGCTATTTGTAAATACTTGGACAGCATGTAATTAAAACTTGTAATGGGAGGAATTTCTTGTGGTGCTGGTTTCATCAGCAGCACAGGCTGTCTGCTGTCTGGTCTGTAAGGTGACAATGAGCTTTAACCTTATTAAAAACTAGGAGATATTTTTCAATCCAATGGAGAAGAGCGGAGGGGGAAGGGACGTTGGGTAAAACCCTTTTCCCAACGACAGAATCATGTCCCCTGGGAGCAGGGCAGCCACGTATGGGAGGCCAGGGGCTGCCTTCTCTATTAACACCTACCTCAGGAAACCAGGGAAAAGGAAGAGGTTGTGACAAGTGACACAAGGCCCAATGGTGGGGTGGCCGTGCGGAGGAGGCCAGTGCAGCCACTCAAATGCCTGTATTCCCTAGGCCCAGCTTTGAGGTGTGGCAGTTTTTTTGGACATCTGAGCTCTCACGTTTCTGGCCAAGGCTCACTAGAGCCCAGAGCAGGGTCAGCCTTCAACAGTTCCAGTTGACCAGGACCCTTGTTTTGTCTCGAGAAGCAAATTTGCCCAGTCCCTCCAGCTTTTATCTACCCCTTCACCTGAATTTCATGTGCTCACTGGTTTTTTTTTTGCAGTTGACCAACATCAGACAGAGCATTAGAGAGGAATATAAAAGAAGCCAGGGGACACGTTTAATATTTCCAGGTAGACCTGGAGCCAAGGTGGCTGGAGAAAGGTCTGCCTGGCCCCAGTAACACCAGCTAATGGATGAAGAAAGTATATGTGTGCTTGTCAGTAAAGCTTCAAAAGTTTATTGGTAAAATTGATTTTATTCAATGCCTTGAAAGAACACAATTAACACTTAGTAACTTCTCGGGCTGATGAAGCTATGCTTTTTAATAGTCTCCCTGTACATATACATGTGTGTGTGTGTGTATTTATATACGTCAAAGCATTCAGAAGATGCAGTTCTGCCATATGCTATGCCTCCAGCAGCAGCAAGGGGAGAGCAAGACAGAGGAGGGCACACTCACTGGCATGCAAATGGAGGTATTTCTGCTGAACCAGGACACAGCAGGGACTGTCAATGGGGTCAGCCCTGGGTAACTGCTTCATCAAGGCAGCTGTGAAGGACTGACCCTTGATTGCCAGCATCCTTTGGGCTTTGCTTCAGAGGATGGACACGTGAGAGGCATTTGCCTTCTCCTAAGAACGTAGACATATGCTAACCCGCTCCCAACTTTAAGAAAAGCCTGGAGAGGGGGACATCAGTCAATCTTCTTGATTTTGCTCCAACCATTTTGAATTTGATGGAATTACAGGAAGCAAAAACCTGGATCCAAGGGAGGAAGTTTGCCCAGCGAGTTGACTTAAGGCTGGGCTATCTACGCGCTACATAGACAGAAACACATACGAAAGCACATCTTACAAATAAATAAATAACTGTGTTTGTTCCGGTTACATGCTATATCAGCAATTTAAGCTCTCCTAGCCCACTGCCATGGAACAAACTTTACACCGAAGCAAGCTCCCCAGCTACGGACGCTTTGCCCTCACGTGGCTCCGTGCCGCGCTCGTCGCCCGTCTCCTCTAGGACAGTTTGAAGCATTGGACACTTTTTCAGCGAGGATGCTCCCAGGTGCAGAAAGCCCTTCTGCTGCCGGGGCGGGGGGGTCTCCCCCATCCTCCTGCCCTAAGGAGGGCTGAGAGGAGAGGTTCACTCCTTGCCCTGGCCCCCGCTGCACTGCAGCTGTCCCCCCTGGGGAGGGCAGGTGCAAATTCGGGTCCCCCGGCTGACGGTGGTGCCGGCGGGGACCGCCATCTCCTCCTCGTCGTAGCAGACGCAGCGTGGGCAACCGTCGGCCACGGGGCTGCCCACAGCCAGGCAGGTGTGGGGCAGTGGGGGGCAGAGCGGGGCGCAGGTGATGTCCCCACTGGGCTGGCAGGTGCACAGCTTGCGGGCAAAGTCGATGTAGAAGGAGCGGCCGGCGGGGACGTGGCCGCTGGAGAAGCCTTGCATCTCGCAGTCGCTCTCCAGGTAAGGGGGGCAAGGGCAGGGCGGAGGGCAGGGGGGGCAGCAGCCCCCCGCCGTGGGGGTGGTCGGCCCCTCCACCTCCCTCTCAGGGCACGGGGGGCAGGCGCTGGGGCTGCAGGTGGGTTTCGGGGTGGCACCACAGAGCAGGAGGCAGGCCAGCCAGAGGCGGAGGGGGCCGGTGGGAGCCATGCTGCTGGGGAGAGACAGGGGGGTCAGAGGAGACATCACGCTGGACATGGACACAGCAACCCCCCCCAGTATGGAACTCCCCCCCAGAGGTCTGAAGCAAGCAGGATACAGCCACCTCTCCCTGACATCCCCATTAGCCATAGTTTTGATCACCTGCAGCTTGCTGGGACCAGGGGGTTTGCTGAAAAGCGTAGAACCTTGTGCCTGGAAGCTCATCCTGGCTTGACCGAGGTGTCCTCCACCCACCAGGCCTTCCGAGGGCTGCAATGTGGGCAGTGGGTTAGCAAAGCCCACCTTAGCTCAGCGCACACTGAGCTTTGGCAGGGTTGCCCTGGCCAGCAAATGGCACTTGTTCACCCCTGTATTGATGCTAATAATTTATGTTTCAGTGACTAATTGTTCCTGGGAGGCATTCGGCCGCAGGCAGATGAATAGCTCAGAGAAGCACTGCCTGCTTTGGTAGGCTCATCCTACGGCCACTGCTGTGATGGAGACCCTGCTTCCCCACGGAGTAGGTCTGGGTGCCAGCTCCCAGCCCCTCAGGCGGTGCCCCTTCCCAGCTCCCAGCCCGCTGCCGGCCTTTGCAGCCACCTCACTCCCTCTCGGGAAGCCCCCAGGAGTCACCTCACCCTTGTTCTAATCTGTGAAGCCTTCACCTCCTAAGGAAGATTTTTTCAGCTACTGGGGACTCCTGTTTGAGGCTCCTTGCCTCCCTCGGGGTTTTTTAGTCCAGTCCCTTTCCAACCTGAGGGTCATTCACAGGCATGAAACCTTTTCCCTGTGTCTGCTCCCTCCTCCTCCTCCTCCACTCACGCCGCCCAGGAGGCACGGCACCGCCTGGCAGCTCATCCTGTCTCCCTCCTCTATTTTAAGGCTGAGGGTTCTTTTTTGGTACTGCCAGCTTTTCAAAACACTCCATTTCTTTAAGGACAGCCTTTCAGATCCCTTCCCCCTGCCCGAGTGACCTTAGGTCATGCCCTATGGAATGTGCCTGCTTCCCTCCCACGCCGAGTCCTTCCAGCCCGGGTCTCTTCTCCCGTTCTCCCAATGCCAACTTTGATTACAATTATATCATTACCATCACGCTGTGCATTTGATAAGCCCCAATGTCTTACTTTTGCAGGCAGGCAGCTACTTGAAATGACTTGTTAAACAAAACAAAAAAAAATTCCAAATTGCATAACTGTATGGAAAAAAGCTTGAAAGCATGAACACCATCGGACTTCAATTTGAAAAAAAAAGGGAGACGGGACCAAGTAATTAACTTTAAAGCTTTCCTGCTTTTGAAACAAACTCTTGGTTGATGAAGTAACTGTTAACTCTGCTCCATCCTTGCTGTAAGTCACTGTTCCCCCCTTCGTTTCTTTCACACATTTTAATCTGCCGGTTATTTTCTCATTGCTCCCAGCAGAGTGGTGGCTGTGCCCGGCAGCAGGGCCCCCAGACCCACTCCCGGTGACACGGGGGCCACTCGGTGAAGGTCTCCCTTCCACAGCCCCGTGCTGAGACCTCCCTCCAGCCTCAGCCACCTGGTTCCTCCAAGCTCCACACACAGACAGAGCAGGGCACTACCATCAGCAAGTCAAAGGCTTTGCACACCCAAACCTCTATCCAACCCCGGCAGCCCCGTTCACCCCCAAACCCCCTGACCCCACCTGGCAAAGAGACCAGGTTTCTTCAACAGAGCCCCGTTTCCAGCCAAACCACAATATGGAGTTTGTCATTCAGCGGGAACAGCCCCCTGCTCGCCCTGGGACAGAATTTCTTGGGGTTGATGTCTCACCTCCCCCTTAGTTTTTGGCAAAGTAGGCTGTGGGGCTGGCTGAAGCTCTCCCCTCCTGCCCCACACCAGGTCCCCGTGGGTCCCAGCCACCGCCATGGGGCTTTGGTTACCTGCAGGGTAGATGGTGGGATGGAGGGATGGTGCTGGGGTGCGGTGATGGACCCTGAGCGGCGTCTCCGTTCTTCGCCCCGCAGCTCGCCCGGGCCCCTCTATTTATGTGCCGCTGCTGGTGGTGGCTCCATGATGAAACAGTGGTGGGGGGAGATGGAGGAGGCGGGGAAGGCTCCGTAACACAAAAGGTGGCTGGGCAGGGCCAGCAAGATGCTTATCTTGCTGGTGGTGTTGGTTTAGTCTGTCTGACCACAGGCTAATCCGGCATCTCCCAGCCATCTGCAGGTCTCTCATCTATCTCTCCCCACACCCCTCTTTGCAGACTTCAGCCAGGACTTCTGGAAAGTCAGCATCTCCTTGTGCTTCACAGGCTGCCAGCGGCACAGACGCCGATGTCCAGAGGGAAAACAAAATTATTTAAAAGCTTTCACGAGGCAGCAGAGGCAGAGGGTAGCCAGCTCCGGAGCTGTGACATTCCCCTTCAAGGAGCTGGAAGTGGGCATGGACCTTCATGGAGTGATGCTTTATCCCTATGTCCTGCAGCTTCCCCTCATGCTGCACACTTGACACACACAGTTTAAAGCACATTAGGTCCTGTGTGGCTGTTTTCCTCTGAATTAAGCTGCAGGGAGCCAAGGCCATGTGTCCCGGTGGAGGAGGCTCGCATGGGTTTCACGTGTGGGCATAATAAGTGTGCCTTCACCAGCGTGGGCAGCCAAAGCTGCCATGGGGCCCTTCGCTCCCTGGTGTGAAAACATCTTAGCCCAACATACTAATGAGCTCATTGGAAATGTGTCCCCAACCTTGCAGAGCGATGGGATGAGGAACAGAGACACCCTGCAGCAGATGGGACTGTGGAGAGCAGCAAAGGTTCCAGGAGTGCAGACCCCACCATGGGCACACACACGAGAACCCACCGGAGCAGGAGGTGTTGGGAGAAGACCCCTGGGCTGGTGCTGCAGGACCAGGGTCAGTCTCTTGCACCTGTGCTGGGCGCTATGCTCCGTGCAGTGGGGCAGGATGTTGCCCAGCCCTCCCAACCTCCTCCCACCACCCTCTCACCACTCCTTAAGCCTGAAAATCCCCATTCCCGTGGGACCCTGGTGCCCTGTAGGGTTGGAGAGCACGGAGCTGCTGTGCTGAGCATGGTGAGCACCCTTAGGCAGCCGCCTCTCACCGGATACGAGGATGCTGATAAGGCTCTGGTGGCCAAGGAAGGGAAATAACTCGAAAGACCAGTTATCTGGAAGGGGTTGTCACTGCTGGAGGGCAACCCTGGGGGTGCGGGGAGAAGGGACGGTGGGTGCAGTGCTGGGCTCTTGGCCCCATTGCTGATGCTGTTTCCAGATCCTGCATGGATTTCTGCAGACAAGGCAAATGAAACTTCTTCCCCTGCTTGCCAAGGCCTTTTCCACGCTGGAGAGCTGGCAGGCAGGACAGCAGCATCTCTCATCACCCCGTGCACCCAGCCCAGCACACCCCGGGGTGCCAGCAGGGCAGCACTCTGCCCTGGGTGCATGCTGCAGGGCCTGTTTGCATCCTCAGGGTCACCATCTGCAGCAAATGACATCAGATGTAACAGCAACACCCATGGCCAAGGAAATCCTCCCCCTCTACCCTGCCCTGGTGAGGCCCCATCTGGAGTACTGTATCCAGTTATGGGCTCCCCACTTCAAGAAGGACAGGGAACTGCTGGAGAGGGTACAGCAAAGGGCTACAAAGATGATTAACAGCCTGGAGCATCTCTCTTACGAGGAGAGGCTGAGGGACTTGGGTCTTTGTCTAAAGAAAAGAAGGCTGAGGGAGGATCTGATCAATGCCTATAAATACTCAAAGGGTGAGTGTCAAGACAATGGGGCCGGTCTTTTTTCAGTGGTGCCAGAAGAGGAAATGGGCATAAACTTGAATATAATAAGTTCCACCTAAACATGAGGAGGAACTTCTTTACCTTGAGGGTGGCAGACCCCTGGAACAGGCTGCCCAGGGAGCTAGTGGAGTCTCCTTCTCTGAAGACACTCAAAACCTGCCTGGACATGTTCCTGTGCAACCTGCTCTAGGTGGGCCTGCTTTGGCAGGGAGGGTTGGACTAGATGATCCCCAGAGGTCCCTTCCAACCCCATATCATTCTGTGATTCTGTAATGTCACCGTCGGATGTGCCTGCTGGGGGCAGGTGGAGAAATCCTGAAACGTCCCAAGGTTGCTCACAACTTTACTAGTTCCCGCACTGATAGTTAACACACAGAAGCCACCGTAACTAATTTGTGGTTACTGTGCAGCAGTTACTTCACCTCCACTGAAGTGCAGCTGCCTGCCTGCAGCCGGGTACCACTGCCCCACCACGCTGCTGCTGCTGGGAGCACTGGGGTTCGGGCTGAGGTGCAGGGGCTGTGTGGGCAGCAGAGGTTCAGGGTGGCAGAAGCTGTTATCCCACCATCTGGTGTTTCAGGTGGTTGTTTTTTGAGAGCTGCCCAGGGAAAATGGCCTCAAGTTGCGCCAGGGAGGTTTAGATTGGATATTAGGAAAAATTTCTTCATGGAAAGTGTTATCCAGCATTGGAATAGGCTGCCCAGGGAAGTGGTTGAGGCACCATTCCTGGAAGTGTTCAAAAGACGGGTTGACATGGTCCTCAAGAATATGGTTTAGTGATTTTTTTTTATTTTTTGGCAGGGTTAGGTTGATGGTTGGACTAGATGATCTTTAAGGTCCCTTCCAACCTAGACCATTTTATGATTCTATGATTCTACTGCTGGACCAGAAGGAGAGCTATCTTAAGCTCCTGCTCACACACGCACGCACAGGTGACTGCAGCCTAGAGCTCTCACTCCTGATGTAAAGCTGTTGGGGTGACCCAGGCACCCTAAGGCTTCCCTAACCCCCGGGGAGAAACCTGCCCAGCATGCAGGGAATTATTTCCATGTGCACTTAAAGAGACTGTCTCTGGGGTGGCAGTGGTCTCCAGGCCCTGGCAGGACACCCCCTTGAAGGTGCCCATGTCTGTGGAGCAGCCCAAGGAGTTGTCTCACACTTGACCTTCAAACTCATGAGCTGCTTTTGGGACAAGAGCCGTCCCATTGGAGCACTCACATAGGAGGTGGGGGACCTGGGGGCCAGAGGGGAGGGTCCCCATCTCCCGACGAAGGGGAGCTCCCTGCAGAGAGAGGTGGCCCTGGTTGTCTAATGGAAGCAAATCTCCACTCCTTCTCTTGAGGCCAGGTCTGATGCCCAGGAGGACATTCTGCAGGGGCATCAGGAAGGGTATGGCATCAGGAAGGGTATGGCATGTCCCAGGCTTCAAAGTGGTCCAGATTCAGACTCTGTTCTGGGCTTCATGGAGTTATGGGGCACTTTAAGACTCATACATCTGAGTTTGGAATACAAGCATGGACTAAGACCTTTTAGTTTGCAACAGAATTGCTGAAATAAATACGATACAATGAGGTTGAGCTAATCAGTTTTTACTTTTTCTGGACAAATATAGTTATTATTCAAGAAAAACCTTGCAGAAGATCAGATAAAGCTTGTGTCACTCAGGAAACAAAAGACAGTGGAGACACTCTTCCTAAATATAAATACTTCAGCGTTCTATAATTTAATAAAAGTCTTGTACAAACTAGATTAGATTGAAGGTATGGACTAGCCACTTAGCAGCAAGCCAAAATCAAAACTGATTGTTAACCCCTATGAGTAGCTCCTAGGATGTGTGGAAAGATTGCAAAGCTCTTGGCGGTTTTTGAGCGCAAGTCCCCCAAACTGGGTTTCAACGGCGCTTGGGTTTGGTCCCACAGCCCTCCTTTCACATCTGCTTTCATTTATGTTTTTTGCAGCCATGGCAAATGGCCCTTCTGACCTTCATTATCAGTTCCTCGAATATAATGCTCTGACAGCAAAATTAAGATCAACCTCTCCCCCCACCCTCGCCCCTCGTTAACGAGTTCTCAGGATGCATATTCATGAGATGACTGTTAGAGGACACAGGGATGAGCCACATTGGAGCACTCACATAGGAGGTGGGGGACCTGGGGGCCAGAGGGGAGGGTCCCCATCTCCCGACGAAGGGGAGCTCCCTGCAGAGAGAGGTGGCCCTGGTTGTCTAATGGAAGCAAATCTCCACTCCTTCTCTTGAGGCCAGGTCTGATGCCCAGGAGGACATTCTGCAGTTAGGGGCATCAGGAAGGGTATGGCATGTCCCAGGCTTCAAAGTGGTCCAGATTCAGACTCTGTTCTGGGCTTCATGGAGTTATGGGGCACTTTAAGACTCATACATCTGAGTTTGGAATACAAGCATGGACTAAGACCTTTTAGTTTGCAACAGAATTGCTGAAATAAATACGATACAATGAGGTTGAGCTAATCAGTTTTTACTTTTTCTGGACAAATATAGTTATTATTCAAGAAAAACCTTGCAGAAGATCAGATAAAGCTTGTGTCACTCAGGAAACAAAAGACAGTGGAGACACTCTTCCTAAATATAAATACTTCAGCGTTCTATAATTTAATAAAAGTCTTGTACAAACTAGATTAGATTGAAGGTATGGACTAGCCACTTAGCAGCAAGCCAAAATCAAAACTGATTGTTAACCCCTATGAGTAGCTCCTAGGATGTGTGGAAAGATTGCAAAGCTCTTGGCGGTTTTTGAGCGCAAGTCCCCCAAACTGGGTTTCAACGGCGCTTGGGTTTGGTCCCACAGCCCTCCTTTCACATCTGCTTTCATTTATGTTTTTTGCAGCCATGGCAAATGGCCCTTCTGACCTTCATTATCAGTTCCTCGAATATAATGCTCTGACAGCAAAATTAAGATCAACCTCTCCCCCCACCCTCGCCCCTCGTTAACGAGTTCTCAGGATGCATATTCATGAGATGACTGTTAGAGGACACAGGGATGAGCCATATCCACTCTCCCAGTTACTGTATCATGAGAATGAGTCTTTACTTCTTGAACAGGTTCCGTTCACTGCCCACTCCAGCAGGACTGTGTGTGAGACACCAGGTGCCACCAGCCCCCCCAGAAGTGAGGAAGATGCTTTCCAAAGGCCATTTGCCACTACAAGAGTGATTGTATCCCACCTGCCCAGCACCTCATTCCTCCTGCCCGTCACAGCCCTCAGCTGTCCCATCCCATCCCTC